CTAATTTAGATTGTGGATTAAAGTTTTTGTATATAATTTCGCTGTTTAATAATAAACGTAGTCAAAACCGGAGCACGTGGTTTTTCTGGAAAGTATTTTTAAAATCACAAGCAAAATCTCATGACTACTGTACTAATGATTGCCGAAAATTAACTAATTCATATTTTAAGCCATATCTTTCTTAATAAGGACTGTCAGAACCATATTTACCTTAACTTGAAATTTTTTTAATCGTTTTTTGTATATAATCATCTCTAAAAATGTATGATTGAAATATCGTGCGAACTATTTGTTCGATCAATAAAAAACTTGCACCGGTCCTGTTGCGCCAGCACCGTTATACCAGGCCCATGACACTCCCTGGGCGGGAAAAAGACGCGCAGCTTTTACTGCGCTGACGTTTTCGGGATATAACCTATCACTTGTCATAAATCCGGTTAAAAACTCGCTACCATGCGCAGACAACCCATATTTCGTACACAAATATAAACTTTTGTTTACATTTTATCGAAGTAGTTTTTGTAATACATTCACAGCTTAAAAACGGAAAATTTGTTATTGTGATAGTGGATTTAGATTAAAAATACCCCAAATACACTTCAGTGTCTGTTTTATCCTTATTATTGCTCGTTTTATTTAAGGACATTGGAATAAATATAGAGTACTAAAAGTAATCAAGCTAAAAAGGTGTGTTATAAAAAGAAAATACATTGCCTTCGACTGATTTATGTTTAATATGTTTTCGTGAAGATTTCCAACATGCTAGTTACTTGAATGGTTGTAAATTGTACGTGTATAAGTGATAAAAACATCTAGTGCTTTGTGCTTCCTTTTTTGTTTTGTTGGTGTCCCAGCCCAGCATTCCTAGCCAGCAGTAGTAGCAAAAACATTAACATTGTCTACATTCAACCCATTTACATGTACATGGTTTATCAGCTAAAAGCAGAATACAATATTTCTCTGCAAAATGTAAACAACGCTACAAGGAAAATTGCTCATGTATAAATTCAACAATTAAATCAAAATATATTATTTTTAAAGGACTTATATCAACTATTATGTTAATTATAAATATTATAAGTATTTGTAACAAAATAATAGTTGTGTATTAATAAACCTGTTGCTACTCCAAAAAATATATTATTTATTGATTATCAGGTATCAAAAATATGTGTACCTATAGAAATTTGTTGAAATGTTCTATTGCTCTTAATCTTTTTAATGGTTCTTAATATAGTTGTAAATAAAAATCAACACTTTTTATCCATCTATTTAACACTTACAAACGTATGCATATTTTAAGTTGTAAGGATCCATAGCCTCTTAATGTTTTACATTAGAAATAAGACCTGTGATGTCACATTAAATCGTGAATATGAGGTAAAGGATTTGGGAGTTGTCTTTCAGTCTAATTTGAAGTTCAATAACCATTTTTTACACATAACTGAAAAAGTAATAAAAGCATTAGGTTTTTAAATCAGAAATACAAAAAAAATATGGATTACCACCAAAATCAGATTATATAATGCCTTAGTAAGACTCCATCTTGTGTATGTTTCACAAATATGGATGTACTTGGAAGCCACACAAATTGATCATATTGAAAAAGTACAAAAAATATTTTTACGGTACCTTTTATGTCATAAAAAATACTTGTACCCTTATACCTAAGATCTCGTATAAAACTATGCTCAATAGTTTTATGATTAAATCTCTTTTACAAAGAAGAAAGCAACAGGCTGTGATATATTTTGTACTCTATTTTAAGTACAAAGATTGTGAATTGATTGACTATATAAATGTTAATGCTGCAAAGATTAATCTAAGAAACCCAAGTAACAAAAAATTTGATTTAGATCCAAGTAGTATATCTCCTTTTAACAAGATGATGGCTGTTACCAATGAGTTTCTTAGCGAGATCCAAATAGATATCTTTAATGTCAGCCTAAGAAAGTTGAGGACTGTACCAAATTAAGTTCACTAGTTATAAAGGTTTGTTTTGTTTTTGGTCTTAAATTTCTTGTTACTTAACTCTACATGTAACTACTATTAATTTTTTTATAGTATCCAATAAATAAATTATACCTTTATGGCTGCTTTCAAACAATTCTGTGTGTAGTTACTTAGTTTAAAGTCAATTTTAAATTAGTGGTTTTACAAGAATGTCAAATAGTAATATGTATTGTGTCTATGAATTTGCTGTGTGTAGTTTATATACATATATACATAACTTTGATATTCTTATCACAAGTGTAAAAACTAGGAAAACCATATACATATAGTTCCATTTTAAAATAAATTCAAATTAATTCATAATAAAAAATAACGATTTTAGTCTGCCATACTTGAACTCATTCACAAAAGCAAGTCACTGAGTATATATTTGTAAAAAAACTACACTAAATATGTCTCCCTTACAAATTTTTAAATTTAAAACTACATACTTTCCTATAGATTTTGCAGTACCTAAATAACGTATAGAATAAATGTTTACAATATACTAGAAAAGTTTTAGATTAGAGTAATTCTTAAGAAATAAAGCAATACCTCTATTTTGTTACTCTAACCTTGTGTGTTATATATTTCCCTTGACAAACTAACGTTATATTTTGAACTAAAAGTAATTAAACTTTTCACCAAAAAGTAATATTTCACGTATATAAAAAAATTTAAAACGGTTCTGTCCTTCTTACATTTGCGAAGACTGCCCTGATATCTAATCTATTTTCTTCTTCAAAATAATTAAGTTCTTCAACCGTTGTCTATAAAGGTATCTCACATCTCCCTCATACACACTAATTTGAAAAGCAGCAGAACAAAAATTCAACTAACCAGGTATACCAAGTCCGTGTAAAGAGAACTTTTCATATCCCGAAAACGTCAAGTGTCAACTAAAATTTCTACTTTTAAAGATCAAACGTGCCGCCTCAGAGTGCCAATACTGATTGGTATATATACTGGGGTTATACGCATGAGCTCCGACACATTATTTTCTCCTTATGGTTTCATTTTTGATATATAGAATCGGCTTTCTATACTATTTCTATGACAAAAAGTGACTTAGGTTGTTTCTGAAATAAACGATTCAATTACGTTGTATAGGTCTTGAATTTACATTAAAAGGTTGAGAGGGAAAATTATTTCTTTGCTTGTAAAAAAATCATTAGGTGTGTTAAAATTATTTGAAAAATTTCTATTTTGATTCGGTGGAACATAATTAGTGTTATTATATTGGAAATTTGATTGGGATTAGGTCTTGAAAAATTTCTGAATGTGTTTTGTACAGGTACATTTCGAGAATAATTTTGATTTTGGAAATTGCGAGAATTTTGGTTTTGAAAATTTCGAGAAGAATTTTGCAAATAATGAGCATTACCTTCTTCCAAGACGAATTGTAAAGCTTCACTAAGTGTCGTTGGCTTCATGCATCTTATTGTTGTCCCTAAGGGCTCTTTTAATCCTGACAAAAATGTTTTTAATGTTAGATTTTGATATAATTCTTCGTTTCAAATTTTTTGCTGCGTCTGTTATTTCATGTATGTTAACATAACTACATAATAAATTTAATATATGTAAACATCTATCATAATAATTCTGTGCCGATTCATTTTGATTTTGTTTTAGCATAACAAGATCTCTGTTTAAACAAACTTCATCTCTTTGATCAGAGAAATTTCTAGTTAAAGTATTTTTTAAATCGTTCCAATTTGCACAATTTTGAATATTAACTACCGTTTTAGCATTATCCCTTAATTTTGAAATAATTGAATTTAATAAATAGGTATTTTGAAAATTTTCTGGATGTTCTCTATCGTAAAATTGTGTGAGCAAAGATTCACTCACTGTTAAAAATCTACTTAAATCATTAGGATTACCATCAAATTCAGGTATACAATTAAGAAATTCAGGTTTGAAAGCCATATTTAATTCTTGTAAATTATTTGTTATTTCTTGTTCTTTTAAATTATTGGTTCCTACTTGTAAATTATTTGTTACTTTATTTGTTACTTGTAAATTAGTTGCTTCTGTTGGATTAGTATCTGAATCTGAATCAAGATCAGTTGAAGGTGAATCGGTTTGTAATTGCAATAAACGTTTCTCTAATTCGTCAAAAGTAAAATCTGCCATAAATTGTACTTACAATAAAAGAGTAACTATCATCATTTAATAGTTCCAAAAAACGTCACTGGATCTGCGATGCTGTCTTCACCAGTCCGTAAATCTTGTAGATTTTGGCGATGTGTGTCCCAAGTCTTGAAGTGTTCTAAACCACCTTTACAATTAATCACCAACAGTTTGTAAAATTATTCACCAACAGTTTTTTTGTTTTATTTTAATGGAAAGTTCGTAATTCAGCTAATCGGTAAAACGAAAAATCTATCCGTTCGATACGAATCGTTCCCGAATTATCCTACTGACTGCGCCAGAAATTAAATCTTAAACCGAAAATTATTTTTTAAAAACTTTTATTTAACTTAAAATACAAAAATATAGATGTGTATGCTTTGAATGCTAACTCGGAACTCACTTGAACTAATTACAACTACTTTTATATAAACAACTATTCTAAACTATGCAAAATTGTATATTTAATATATTTTCCATTAGTATGGGTGATATAACTCACGAGTCGATGCACCTGTGTGTATTGTAGAATTATTATTATTTTCTTGTTGATGCAAGAGTTTTTCATTAAAATATTCAAGTAAGGTTGGTCTCTTTTAATATAGTTAATTTAAATACGGGACTTACAACCCAACAATTGTTATTACTGGTTTCTGATATTTTAATAATATTTCTTCTTTACACAATCTACTAAACTAATAAATATTTATTTTTTTATTGAAATATATTGCTATATCGTAAACTGTTGGTGACGCAAAGTCGGTTAAATGGGGACAAAACTGTATATTTCAAAGCACAATCCGAGCGCGTTTTGAAAACCAAAATCCTAGGACCGTTTTAACTCAATAACGCATCTAATGTAAGTTTTTTTTTAGTAAAGTTATTCTAAAAGATCCTACCCAGGAAGAAGAAAATTTGTGTTCTGGAATTTTAACTGTGGTTTTTAAAGATGATGAATTATGTTGTGTTCATAAGCCTGGAGGCAGCCCATTAACCCAAGAAGAATTGTCTCAGTGCATAGAGGAATCAAAGGAGAGAACACTGTTTATTAAAAGGTTAATAGATACGGCTGTATAAGATGAAATAAATTGTTATATTTTTATATAAATACAAATTAGAAAAATCAGTTTGAATAAACCTTTCCAAAAAAAAGAACAACCTACAAAATCGCGTGCATAAAGAATAAGGGGGTGTAACAAAAACGCGCGCATAAAGCACAAAGTTTAAAAGGTTAATAACTTTACTTTCCTGAATAAAGTCTGTGGGTGTCTGTATCCATGATAACTTAAAAATGGATAAAGAGAAAAACACTAAATTTTATACTTAAGCTGTAATCAATCCTCTAATGAGTTGATTAGATTTAGGGCAGTAGGGATTTAGGGAGTAGGTACTTTATAGGGGTTCTGTTTCAAAACCTATCAAAGACGGTCCTGTGCTTGCGAATCTAAGTGTTCATTATTAGCATCTGTAAACAAACAGGTACGTGACAATAGTCGCATTCGCCAAGCCACATCGGCGCGAACCCTCAAGGCTAACTAGCTTAGGTCACGTAGTCATAAATATATTTCTGTAAAACGCCACAAAACTGCAGGCAAGTCTGTGGTTCGATAGAAAACAGACCATACTCTCATTAACATCACGACAATTCTTTTCTGTTATATAACTCAAGTACTCTGAGCAAACTAAAATGTGAAGGGCCCCTATATGGTTTGAAAGGTGGAAGAGTCAGGACTGGCCCAAATCGAGTTCCTGAAGGTTTTCGAGGTCGCTGATCACGATTATGATGTTTAAATTGAACCACAGCCGACCTGGAGCTCAGGAACGCCGATGAACGGTATCTACGGGGACTATCCCAAAATTAACGCGGGTAAGGAGAGAAACTTGGCGCTCGAGGGTTTTTGGGTTGCTGGGCACCTGGTGAACTGGAACCGGAACGTGGACGTCATCTCCGGGAAGTTTCTTGCCAACATTACCAAAAAAACCTTGTAGAGGTATTTCACGTCGAAAACGATCCCCGAACACCTAGTGCACCGAAACGTCGTCTCCGAGAATTCTCCAGACACAATCCCTAAAGACAAACCGAAAATCATCATGGGGGTTTGTAGGCACGCGAAATCCAAATTCCATCACGAAAACGTACCTCCGGAAACCTGGTGTACCGGTACTCCGGCCTGAACGTCATCTGAGAGGGTTTTCATCACACAATCGAGACTACTGTGTCTTATTAGAGATCCCCGTATACCTCATTGTATGTATAATAATGTATATACTTCCGTATGAGGAAATAAAGTCGGGAACTCTATACTGTATCGTTTAAACTACTCTTTATACTTGACAATCGAGTGTAGAGGAATACATAGGTAAAGGATAGACGCACTAGAATCGGGCATTCGGGATGTTTTAGATACCGGGGAAAACTATCACATAGGAGTAATTCTTGAATTAAGTCCTTAACCGAGCGTGGTGAAACCTTCTCGACGTCAAATCTATTCGCAGAAGAGAAGAACATTGGCTTCACTCAATTTTCAAGGTATTCTCACGTCCCAAATACGACTTTCCGTCCTTAAGGGGTCGTTTTCCCGGTCCTAAAGGGGGAATTCCAGTTGGCCATAAATTTTTCGAGCACAGTCTGAGTTCGAGAACTAGGACATAAATAAGTATACAAAAATACCACTGCAGAGATTGCAACTTCCAAAACACGATTTTCCGGCCCCTGAGGGGCCATTTTCCCAGTCCCAAACGGGGAATTACAGTTGGCCATAAACTTTTCGAGCACGGTATTCATTCCCGAATTCAAAAGTACATAAAAATACCACTAATGCAATTGTGACGTCCGAAACACGATTTTTCGGCCCCTGAGTGGCCATTTTCCCGGTCCCAAATGTGAAATGTCAGTTAGCCATAAACTTTTCGAGCACGGTATTCATTCCAGAATTCAAAAGTACATAAAAATACCAATGATGTCATTGCGACGTCCGAAACACGATTTTCCGGCCCCTGTCGGGCCATTTTCCCGGCCCGCACGGGGCAATCCAGTTGTCCCTGAACTTTTCGACTACAAACCCGACTTTGGCGTTAGAATGCACCTTCAACCACGCCTCATCTCGGAATCCACATTTCAGGCCCCTGGGGCCAATTCCAGACGTGGAGGGCCATTTCTGAGCTCGGGATCGGATTTAGCGTCGAAAAATACATGGGAATACATATGTCCGACCGCCAAATCTGAACACTTTTTTTTGGGGCTGTGTTATTGTTCAATAAGGGTGAACTTGACGAAGAATACTGAGCAAACGCGAAGTGACAGTAATTAGATGTTCCCTGTTTTTACAATTTCTATATTAAGTGAAGTTCTGGGTAAAATACTTTACCGATTTTTTAGTTTAATATTGACTTTTTCGTAAGTTTTTATATTTTTCTAGGACATTTAATTTTTCCTAATATCATTTTCAGGGTAGTTTGTCTTGATTACAATAGTAACCTACTGTTTTCTAAGTGTTGACGCGTGGGATTGTGTTCCCAAAATAATATCGCCAATTTTGATATTTCCAACTTCATATATGACAAGTCCATAGTATAAGGTGGGAACTATGATTCAAGGAAATCACGAAAACCTAAATCACGATACTGCGCAATAATATGATATGGTTAATTATATGATTGGGAAGGGTTTATCTAATAGATAGTGGGGTGAGTCCAGCAGATCCTGGAGTTTAGTGGTAAGTGAGAAGTCTTGGAGTTTGAGTGAGACAGTGAACTGTATATTTAAAATGGAACAATTATGAAGACATAGGAACAACAATCCCTATTGACAAAAGTAAGCTAAATTAAATTCGCGTATATGAAGACTAGGGAGAAGGAGGCGAATCGGCAATGGTCAAATTTCAAATTTCCGTCCTTCTTTTTATAAAGTTCGCGAAATTGACTGTAGTTGGCATGTCTAATGACAGCGTAGTCAATTTTCTATGTATAAGTCAATGTAAAATAAAGTGATTTTTTAAAAAAATGATGAAAAGAATCAAAATAATGTGAGTACAAGTAACATGAGTGACAAAAAACATCAAAGCAAGATTTACGTCGTTTCAGATTGTAAAACAGGATAAAAATAAAATTTAAAACTAAAGAAAACACAAGAAAAAATCAATTCAATGTCTTTTTAAAGCTTTTAATGTAAGTAAAATAATGTACTCATGTCTAAATATAATATTTATTGTAAACTAGTCACAATATATATCTTACGAAGTATAGTTTATTTTAAGTTTCTATAATATAAAATTTTAGTTATAGATGCTGACTTACAAACAACAATAATTATGGATTAAATTTAACTTACTAGAAAAGAAAATTTATTTTTTATAGAGTTTTAATGTTAGATAAAGAGTTGCTACTGTTATTTTTTTTTTGCCCCAATTGTGTCATTGTAAATGTTTTTTATAGGATACTAAACGTTGAGAACAGTGGCAGCATATATATCGCTTCTCCTGCCAATAAAGCACTTTCTAGAAGAGATGCTGTTCTGTACTTTTTATAAGATATTATTAAATATTATGAGACTATTTTTACTGATGGTACTGTTAGAAAAATAAAAAGGGGAAAGCTGAAATTAAAGGATGCGAGGTAATACCATGTACATTCCCAAATCACCCTTTTATACTTGTATTACAACAATAAAAAAAATCTATTCACTGTGTTTTATTTTACTCTTAAAAATATATATTAGTTCAATTCAAAAATTGCAACAAGAATTGTACTTATCAAATTTTAGCAATTAAGAAACCTTTTCGAATTTGGTCATACATACCTAATTTGTATTTTATATAGATAAAATTAAATAATTTATCAATTAAAACATGCAAGACTTATTTAGAAATAAATACAACAGTATGTTCTGTGCTTTATTTAGCTTTAAACAAGTTTATTTTTATTATTTTGACAAAATTATGTATAATTCTATCTGTAATTGGCTTATTTAATTAGCGTTGCCAAGTTTGACAGCGCCAGTTTTGACACTTTCTGGCACATGTCAATTTCTTATTTGTATTTTACGGAAAATATTATTTATAACGTTGTAAAGGTTGTAAATGTATATTTAAGATTTATTATCTCTAATAATATGGTGAGAACATGCTTTATGTGTAAAAGGCCTGTTGAAAATGCTTCTTCAAGATAATATCATAAGTAAGTACAGACCATGGAGGTATTCAACCTCATTGGTACAGACACAACCTAATTATCAGAGGCGGTGCATTAGGCAATCACCTTTAATTTGCAATTAAACTTTCTTATTTTCTTATAGAAAAATTAAAATTAAGAGCATGTCAACTCCAGCTAAGTTCGTCTTCATCCGTCTCATAATGATTATAGTAAAGGTTAAATACTTATTATTATTTTAATATCACATCTTTGTAAAGTTTATTGTTATTTTTTAGGTTTCCTTTTCTTGATATAAGAAAGAAATACATGGTTCCAAAATATAGGAATTCAACAAGTATCCACCTGAATTACTTTTTATGCTAATGAACATTTTTATTACAGACCTCAGGGGAGGAAAATATTTAAAAAAATGCAATTTCGACGAAAGAAGTATAATAATCAATCCTGTCACTACTTCTACACTATATTTGTGGGATATTCAACAAATAATAATCACTAAATTCCCAACAATTATTTATTATAACAACAACTAACTCGATTTAAAGTACAAACGAAACTGAAGTGGGAAAGCAAGCATTTAAAAACATTAAAATGTGTTTCCCGAAAAAACAATACAAAAAAGGGTTCTAAGAACACCTCGATACACTTCACTAACACAGTGGCGTAGCGATAATTTATTCCAATATATCACAATCTTCCCCACCAAATAAGAGATAATGAAAACTTCCAAATTGGCAAACTAATAAAAATTAAATAGTATTGGCAAACTAATAAAAATTAAATAATTTGTTTTAATTATGCTCTAAGTATACATTAATCTATCTGGTTGTTTTCGGACTCTCTTATTTTCAACAACTTGTGATTAATTTTCGACAACTAGGGGATTACAAATGTTACCCTCTGACAAATCCAAATTATTGCTATTACCAGCAGTAGTAGATTCACTAATCTTGGCAGAGACAATGTCATTTAAAC